GCTGGGGGGTGGGGAGGAGCTGGGGTTGCCTGCCTTTCCCTCCCCCCTATGAGAAGGGGAGTTGGCGAGCACAGTGAGCAGAGGGTACAGCCCCTTAGTATTTATGTGATTGAGCTTTTTCTCTATTACTGAAGGTCTGGGTATTCTATACTTACTAATATTAGATTAGCATGTCCTGTAGCTGGCCTTCAAGAAAACTTTTTTAAAAATCATAATCTTGAGCCAAAAACCCTGTTTATAGCGAACTACGTTAGTTGTGACAAACCTTTATTTGATGGGATTCTCCCCCTCCCCCCCAAACTTGTGTGTACATGTAGTTACAAAGGGGAAAACAAAACAAAAACCCTAAATGTGTCTTAAAGTTTAAACTTTGTAAGAAACTGTTTATATACATGGCATCCCTGTGGCCTAAGTACTGTATTTGTTTTATATGTGCAAAAGCATAGCACCTTAGAGACTAACAAAGCTGCGTCATCACTTTAAACTGAAAGTGTGGCCACAGCACAAGCACTGGGGGAGAGATCGCCCAGCATGCTATATAAATCACCTCCATGGGAGGAGTAGCTAACAATGCTGGGCTGGTGTTTTATAGCACTGTAATGTGCTGTGCTCGGAGAGGAAGGGGGGGTGTGGGTGCGTGTGTGTGTGCGTGCGTGCGTGCGTACGCACCTCTGAGCTAGAAAGTTACAGTGCTTTGAAGTGCCAATGGAGACTTACCCAGTACATCCTCTCTGGCTAATTTACTTGCTAAATCCTATTTGACCATGTGTAGAAATGGTTGGCTAATGAAGAAACATACTGGTGAGTAACTTTCTACATTTGTAGAAAACTGTTAAAGCATTCTTCATGGGATATCCAGCGAGTAATCCACACAGCTCTAGCCAAAGTGGAGTATTCTCCCATGCTCTTCAGTGAATGCAGAGTATATGTGGGGCAGCTGTTTTTAGACCTTCTGGTTACTGGTACTGCCAGCCACTAGAGCAAAGGAGTTAAGAGCTCCTCTTGAAAGAAATGGAGGGTAGAGGCAGATCTGAAGGTAGTCTGTTTACACACACATGCCAGATGGGAGTGAGCTGGAAAAAAGATAAAAATAACATTGGAAACTTTTTCTTTTTCTTTCTTCAAGACAATGCTTATGGCAAGACTTTACGGCAGCATCACGGCTGGGTTGTGCGAGGGGTTTTTGCGGTGAGTGGTTAACATATTAATTGCTGACTCAGCCAGTCAGAATCTTAGCTGTAGTCATTTATTAGTCTATTCTGAAGCTATGGTTAGTACTTGATAAAATGTTCTGAAAAATAAGTACTGACAGAAGGTTCAGTTTGTCAGATCTCAGCTTCAAAAGCAAGAGTGGGCTATCATTTTATGTTGATTGTTTGATTTTTTTCCTGGAAGAATCTATATTTCTTTAGTTAAATTTTTTTTGTTTATATTTTATATTTATTGTAGAAATGCCTCTTTCCACATGTTTTAGAGGGACTTTTCTAAGAAAAAAAATAGAATGGTTTAGAATGTGTCATTAATATCTATTCCAAATATTTTAAATGCATTTCTGGAGTTGGATTATGTCTCCTCAAGGTATTCTTACCTCCAGTGCATGAAACATTATAGGAGGATGGAAGAGTGAAATTTAATAGTTGTGAAAACAAGATCCACTTTACTCAAAGAGAGAGTAACCAAGGAAACAGGTTGTCAGGAAAAATCTAATATAGCAGTGCCCCCTAGTGCCTATTGTTACAAATTGTATTGGCGAGAGTATGCAAAGTCCCAGCCAAGATGTAATAACAAAGCTTTTCATGGTTGAAAAAGAAACAGCAGGATTTGAGGTAACAAAACAACAACAAAAAAGGCTTAAGGGTGAGAATTAGATGTCCAAGTTTGAGTTTTTGAAAATTAGACATAGGTTCCTTTTGAAAAGGTACCCTTGATTATGTTAATGTTTTTAAAGTCTAAATTTTAAAAATCCTCACATATAGTCACAAAGTCTCCTGTAAGGGCATTTCATGCCTCTGTAAAGTGTTTCTGTAAAGTAATGTGGATGCACAAGTTGAAGCATCAAAAATCACTTTCCATGTCTGACACTTTAAACTTCTGTTTCCGTCCCAGTTAGCTTTAAGGGCAGCACCAACATATGAAGACTTTGTGGCAGCACTATCTGTGCAGAAATGTGATGATCAGGAAGAAGCATTTTATAATGCCATGCAGAGAGACCTCGACATTTACTTGCCAGCCATGGAAAAACAGCTGAATATCTTGGACACACTTTATGAATTACATGGTTTGGAATCGGATGAGGTGGTATAACCATAATGAGACAGTACCTCAAAACTTCAGGCACTGCGTTTAGCAAGCTTTTCTGAATGCTGTTCCTCCTCACTGTATCTTTTCTTAGTGTGCAAGGTGGAGGAGCCAGTGTGCATGTGTGCTTTTAATCCTGGTTTGTGTTTAAACGAAGAGGTGCTGTTTCTTTGACGGCTGTAACTGTCTGCATGGTGAATACATTTGGTGAAATAATTGTTCTTTTTACATGAATGTAACAGAGCAAAATTAAGCTTTCTTGCTCCAGTGCTCAAAACTGGGGGGGCAGCTTTGACAGGAGCACAGAGCACACTATTGCTGTGCTGATGTCACTGTGTTGCCCTCACCCTGTTCTGTGCCTGCTGGGATGATGATCCTAGTCTCCATTTTACTGATGTTTTCTTCATTGGAGTTAGCAGAGTGGCAGGGATGGTGAGAGCTGTCCCCCAGTGGCAGCAGACAAGGGGACAGTAGAACTCTCTGCCTTATTAAGAGTGGTTAGGTTAGTCGGTTGCCATCTTTTGGATGCAACCCAAATTTACCTCTTGTTTTATACTAGTGACTAGATTGTATTCCCAACCCTGTGTTTTTAAACAACAACAACAACAAAATATAAAAGACTGTTACTGCAAGCGTTTGCCTTGAGGTCAGGGTCCTTGAGCATCCTCTAAGGGTCAACCCATCACACTACACATGCTTCCCCTGTGCTGACTTAGGTACTGTCCACCCCCTTTTCATGGACCTGTATTGTCCATTCTACCAGGAATCTCCTGGTCTCACCCTTGGAGGGAAGGAGCATGAGGGATGTGTGTGTGTGTGAGAGAGAGAGAGAGCGAAATAATCTTTATCATCACAATGGTGCCCGCCTTGTTGTTAATGTCCAAGGAGAGGTGGTTGGCAAGGTGCATCACCATGATCTTGGTACTAATATTCTTTGCCCTTGTGTGGTTAAGAAACCTTCAGTGCTATGTGCTGGAGCCATTGGGCCAGATCCTTGACAGATATAAATCAGCAAAGCCCCATTTATTCCACTGGAGCTATGCCCATCTATAGTAGCTGAAGATCTGTTCTGTTGTATTTACCCTGGTAATATACAGAATAAACTTTTCAAAAAGCACCTAATTCTCCCTGAAAGGCCATGGGCAGGCACTTTTGAAAAGTTTGCCTATAGCCTTTATAACTAAAATCTCATAACTGCTGCTGGCTATTTTTGTGGTTTAAACATAACAAGCAATCTAACAAATGTTTTTACATAAATGCTTCTACATTAGCATTTAGAGGGGGTGTCGATGTTTTTATGTGTGTGGGTTGTTTTTTTTCTTGTCAATGGGGGTTACAAAAGTCTGGATTTCCTAGTGGGGAATATAATTCTACATAAAGCCATTACACATTAGCACAGCTCTCAGCATATAATCCAAAAGTCTGACTGAAAATTAAGAGTAATGGGGATTTTTGCTGCGTTTTCCTCCCACTGATATGAATAAGTGAAAGAGGTCTACTGGTATCATTGACGTAAAGAATTAATAGCTTGCCAAGTAATTACTCAAAAGATAAAAAGACATTTGATCTTGTGTAGCGGGCTAGTGCAAAGCATTTGGACTATATGTAGAGAACCTTGTCCCTGGATTACTATAGAACAGGCTGTATAAGCATAATTCCATGATTGAAGCCCAGCTACATGCTTTGCACTCAAACCAACCTATCTAGAGGATATTAGAAATTGCCAACTTTAAAGAAGCACAAAAAATAGCAATCAGGAAAAAATCAAAACCTTTAAATTTGGTGTCTGAAAATAGACACTAAAAGCAATAGCTAAATAGTAATTGGCTTGATTTTCCTCCCCCACTCCACAAACTGTGGATGCTAAGCCCCTTTGAGAACTGAAGTATTTTCTATTCATTTAGAACTGAAATTGTTTGGCCAGAGTGTGCTTCAGTTATTCCATTAGCTGCAGTACTAAGAATGAAGCCAGGCACCTTTGGGATTTACACGTGTCATTTTCTTTAGCATAAATGCTAATTAATCCACACAACAGAACAATTCTTCATAAATGATTTGTTCAGGGTTATAGAGAAGGTTCTTCACAGAGGTGATGTGAAGAAGTTGACTGAATAGCTCTTTGCATGATGCTCTGGGAAGATAATGAATGCACAGTGTATTTTCTCATACACAGTGGAGGAAAAGACAGAGATTCTCTTATAAAGTAAATTTGAAAAGAAACCAATTATGATGTTATAATGAATAAAAGTGGAATTTTCTTTTGCTCAGCTTTTTTCATAGTAGGGGACAGTTCCAGGCATTCATGTTTTTTACCCAAGGGAAAATCCAAACATTCTGGTGCAAAGAAGGGAAGGGATTTCAATTTATACAGTAGAACACCGATAATGACTTCATTTTGAATTTTTTAGCTTCAGAACTGACATTTACACCAGTCTTGCTGCTTCTGATAGGCAGATGGACTACTAAATGGTTTAGCATTTGTGGGGCATGCTGCTCTTCAGAAAAGTGTCCTTGTCTCTGTTCCTCCCTTGCATAATTGGCTCTTTTACTTGCAATTAGATGGTCAGGATCTTTCTTAGGACACAGCAACAAAACTGAATAACTATTCAATATACTAGATTGCCAGCCATGGCCCATTATGTAGTCACTTTAAATCAAAGGAGACTTCTTCAGTTTTTCTGACAAGCACCACTTACACATTTTATCTCTGAACTTTAAAAATGTTATGTTATTTCCTAGAGTGAGGTGATGCTTTTAAAAACTAATAAGAATTTGTGTTTGCTTTGTGTCTGAGCAACAACCATGCACCTTGGAACTGACTGGCCACAAGATTAAAATGTAATTTTACTCCCAGATGCTGACCAGATGATTTTACTCCCAGCACAGGGCTATAACATACCTAGCATGAACTGCATTGATTTGTTAATCTTTATCAGACTGAAGTTTTACATCTTCAGCTTCAGTTTCCTTTAGAAATGCTTTCAGCTATATCTTTTGTCTGACATTTGCATAATCTCAGGGATTCTACATAGCCGTGGCAAAAATGGAGCAGCCTTACAATACAAGGCTGTTTTTTTGTATGAAGTTGTTATAGTTGAGTTCAGAACTCCAGCAAAAAGTATGACACTAGCACAGATCAGTGCACATCTTTGCAAAGAAATGATAAATCCCAAAACAGTTTGATACAAATACTATAGAGAACATTAGCTGTCAGAATATTTTAACGATGGTTCTCTCTATGTAATACCTTGTGACTGGCATTAGAGCAGAGTGCCCCATTAATTTTAAATTCTGCTTAGAAGTGGATGGGATTTGATTGTTTTTAAAATAGCTAAATTAAAACACATTCTAGCATTCTTTTTGGTACTTTAAGAATTTGGTAAGCAACAAATGTACCCTAACATCAAGGCATCGTGCATATGTTCTGGTGAACTATTAATGCTCAAGTGTTTAGAGGTGTTGGTTAATGGATCACTGAAACATACCCTGGACTTTCATCTTGATGTTATAGTATGGCCCTTAACTTTCAAAAGCAAAATTTTAAATATGAAGTTAATTTTAAATAAATGTTTGGAATTGTAAGGGCCATATGCTTTCACTATTGGAAAAAGTAATTTATAGTAAATCAATAGATTGGGCTAAAGTACAGTCACTGTTTACAGCATTGAACATATTTGTGGTTTAAGAATTGTTAAACTCTTTATTGTGGTTGTGAGATTTTATGTATTTAAATATGTTGCAGTATTCTACAGAACTGTTCCAATATTGCAGCTTACACCCCTGAAATATAGTATCTATATAGACATAGGGAAATTATAGGTTTTTTTAATAAGGGTTCCTCTCATTCAGTGGACTTCCTCTTTTCACACAGTGCTTTGAACTTCTGTTTTGTTTTCTGCAAAAGATGGTTGAAAGAATCCCAGGTTCCCAGAAGACATTTTATGAGCAATAGTCAAGCACTTACAGGGTTAAAATCTCCTATTCACCTGACCTCTCCATCTCATTCCTGCGTTGCAAACAGTTATGCTGCAGTCAGGTGGAAGTGTCTGTTTTGCAAAGCTAAAATGGGGAGTTTGAAACAGCCAAAAGTGCCAGACTACTGAAGTGATTTTAAAAACGGAGACTTTGAAGGTAGGCCCAAGATCTGGACTGCCAAGCAAAAGGAAGCTCGTGAGGAATGGGCTGCCTTTCCTTGAATCTCTCTGGCACTGCACTCTATGCCAGGGCTGGGCAAAAGGGACTCTGCAGGCCTGATCTGGCCCGCCAAGGCCCTGCCACTCCCCAGGCCAGTTGGGATCTGGGGGGCAGGGGGAAGCACATGAAGTTTCCTCTGCGTGGCTCCTGGCGAGGTGGGAGGAGACTTTGCACGCTTCCCCTGCACCCAAACCCTCATTGGCCTGGGGGTGCACGGAGTGCACAAAGTTTCCTCTGCCCTGCAAGGAGCGTGCGGCACTTAAAAGCGCCACATGCTCCTGGCAGGGCAGGAGGAGGCTTTGCGTACTCCCCCACCCCAGGCCACCTAATGCTTTAGGTTTCCACATGGTCTCCGACGGTGTAAAAATCACTTATGTAGAGGGGTAGTGTTGTGGGAAGGGATGGATTCTTAGCACACAAGCAAGACTAGTCAGTGATAAGTCTGGAAATACTCATGGTTTGTGTGGGGGTTTAAATAATGCCCAAACAAATGGACTTGAAAAGTTGAGCTTCACTGTCTAGAGCAGTGGCCCCCAAATTGTGGGATGTGACCCCTGTATGGACATGGATGAACATTTGGGGAGGTGCAGCGGGGCCCAGACAACCCCTACTGGGATTAGGATTGGAGCATCATTCAGTGGCTCTGGCTCCTGATCCTGCTGCGCAGCTCCCTCCAGCCTCAGCCCCAACCATAGCCCCTCTCCTGGTCCTGACTCCTGACTGCACGGGGATGAGGGTCAGTTAAAGGGAGCATGAGTTAAAAAGTTTGGGAACTTCTGTTCTAGAGTTTAATTTTGCCCATGATTTAGGAAGGCCTTCCTGTTCAGGACCGCATGTAAGCATGTGCTCAACTTGAAGCATATATCCAACGATTATTCTGATGGACTAAAGCCTATGCTTAAGTGTTTTCCTGAAACAGGCCCTTAAATTGGGGGATATATTTGCGTACTTCTGCATATGCCTGACGTGTACTCCCAACCCATTGAATTAGTGTGCATACTTGCTCAAGATGTATTAGCTTTTTTTAATGTACTTATTCTATAACTAAAGGGACATCCCAGAAGTGCCAAAGGTTTATTTTATACATCAATATTCCCTGTTTCAATAGCCTTACTCAGTTTTAGCTCTAAAGTTGTTCACCCTAATTTGTTTTAATGTTCATGGTCCCATATTTGCTCAAAAATCTCAACAATTTGAGGTTCCTATGTATTATTGTGTGTTATCATGTCTTCAGATAGGTATACATACTTAAAGCAAGGAAATCCCACTTCAGAATAAAATAACAAAAGTGTTTTCATTGTGTGTGTTCCTTTCCCAGCTCTTTCATTTTTCCAGCCACGTGTTGGGCATTAATTTTATTAACATTAAACTAGGCTTATTGTGAGCATTGCTTAGATTTATACTATTTAAGGTAAGAGAAGGTACTTGGTTCTTTATTTTTATTTTACTTTGTCTTGACTAATGAACAAAACTTTATATTGTAAGCCCATTAGTACCAGACCAAATGAAAGCAGGTCGGACACCAATCTCCTTTCAGACTATGCTGATTCTTTCAACAGAATTATATGCCATACGTTTAGTTTTGTTTTTTGTTTTTGATAAATGTTTGAAGATGTCAGATTTTTATATTTAGT